GGTAACACCTACTCATCCAACTTAAGCAAACTTCAAATCATTCAAAAGAAGGCTATCAGGATTATATCTGGCGTTCCACCATGGTCGCATTCTTCTTCTTTATTTTCTAATCTCAATCTTCTTAAACTCGCCGACATTAATTCCCTTCAGCAAGGTCTTTTTATGTACTCCTCCTACCATGGTCTCTTACCTTGTCACTTCTGTAACACTTTTAAATCCAATTATTCCTTTCACAATTACAGCACACATAACTGCGCTAATATCCATATACACAACCATAGAACCAATTACTTCCAGCACAACATCAGATTTTCGGGCCCAAAACTTTCTGTCTCTTTTGTTAATCTCATTATTTTTCTCTTATTTCAGGCTGTCCCTCCACAAGATTGGTTTTTCTTATCTTCTCGGGTTCTTGCCTTCTTCCTCTCCTGCATTTTCAATTCATTTTAAATCAATTGTAATATATTTGTCTGATTCAAAAAGGAAGTAAATAAATGTTGAATTGAATTGAATTGAGTCATCTGGAAGGTGTTTTCTACACGGCCGTGTTGTCATTGAAATTGGAAAATAACAGTACTGTATAAAAATACTAACACATAAAATCACAAAAAAGACAATTATATACAAATACAAAAATACCAAAAATGAAACAAACCAAAAATTTTACAAAAGTGTTTAAATATTTAATATTTTAAAATTTTATGCATTTCTAACACGTTCATCTAGTGTGTTCCAAAGAATTGCATCACGGTAAGATAAACTTTTCCTTTTATATTCCGTGTGAGGACAATCAACTGTTGAGACATCATTTAATCTGGTATTTTTAGGGTCAATGGTCGTGCAACCATGTTCGGGACCCCATAATAATCATACCTTCATTATTACCTTGCAAACTTTTATACATGTACTGTAGTAGTACAGGCCTATTCATTACATGTTTTATTTTAGCTTTCTTGCTTTAAAGGACGATAAGATACGGCCCTCCGAAAAATCGAAAATCTATTTTCGCACAATGATTTGGTGGATATTTGGAGAATGTAATATTCTAAAATAATATGCTACCCAAATTTGAATGGTGTTTCTTGAAAGAGGGACCAGATTTCCAGTCTATTTAGCTGTTTTCAATATTTTATCTTTGTTAAAGGGTGTGGTACCGCAATTTCAAAAGGTCATAACTGAAATACCGCTTTGGGAATTGAAACTGAAATTTTGGATCCTTTCTTTTGCCTACCAAGGTATTTTTAGGTTTTTGTTTTTCAGGAAAATCCAAGGGGGTTCACATGGAACTTTAAATTTCTGGCTGATTTGAGCTGGAATGACCTAACAACAATAATTATTTTATTATTAACGTTATTATTAGAAGGTTATTATTGCAATCAAAATTATTGTTTTTGATTCTCTCTTTTATTTGATGGTAACGTGATGGCGTGAATCTTCCTTTAGTATGTTGATAGTTTTGGCAGTTCCAGTCCGTGGTCAATAGATGGCACGTCTACACCGACAATGAGATTTCACGAAATCATTCCCAAGATGCATGGACTTGCTCATGATTAAGCTGTGCTGAAAACCAGTGAAAACTCGATAACAAAAACGCAAGTTAACGTATTTATTTCAAATAGATCATCTAAAGGAAATTCTAACAAATACAGTCTAGATATCTAGATGAATCTTTTCACTGAAGTAATTAGGATATTTGGTAGTTAAACAAAAGTTTTTTAATTCATTTTTTAGGTTATATTTCTTAGTTTCTATTGATTTCTGGTTTCTGTAAATTTTTGTATACACGGCCTAGCAGAATAACAACTGTTAGTTGTTTCAAGTTTCTGTGTTTTAAATAAAGCTTATTATTATATGATATTCAGCTTCTCATATTTGCCTTATCATCGCCATATTGAGTCAGAAAATATGGGTGCATGCAAGCATGGGTTAAATTGAATAATCTCCTATTTAGCCCTAGTCTTTTGCAACAAATATTTAAAATAAAGACAATTGTCACATGGCATCCATATTGCTAAACCAAGTTATTTTTTTTTTCAACTTCAGCCCAAATCATGGCAGAGCGGAGGTGATGTGAGCTCTCGTAGTACTTTCCCTCTGATAAGGTTTGCCACCCCCTTCCTCCTCCCCCTCCCCTCAACTCACAGCTGCCAATAGTTACCGATTACTCGCGTATAATATAGGCTTAAACTAGCAAATTACGACCGGAAAACAGGGGGTCGTCTTATACGCGGGACATACAAATGTTAGATGTGATTTTGTCCCCTGAAAATAATAATAAAATAATATAACTTGCTCATTTTGCAGTAACATAACAATTATTAACTTGACAATGTGTACCCTGATTTTTATAAAAGATAAATAATAAAAAAACTTGCAGTGGTTGAAGTTTTTCTATCATTTCCGCTGTAAAGATATTTTAATAATTATTTCTATATTTAAGTTAATAATTTTTATTTCAAAAATGATTTTAGGTTTTGGTATTTTACATGTGGCAATACATCTTTAAATATCACCACTTAATATTTTCTTTTGTTAAAAATGTTGTTTTCTTGATTTTGTTTCCTTTTTTTCTACCTTGAGCAAACCGGATTGTCTTCCGGTGTACTGCCCATGCAGCACCAGAACGACCCTACTTGAATTAAGTCTTCTTCTAGGTCGTGGGTTGTCCTTGGTGTTTATTTCACCCACCACTGCCTTGAAATCTGTAAAATTAATATATGTATTTTTCTTCCAATAAATTTAAAGCATTTAAGCCATCCATTACTACACAGTTTACATTCACCAATACAAATTTATATTTGTTTTTTCCTCCGTCTGGATGTTTTTGGGAAGCAGCACCTTTCAAGAAAAGCAAGGAATAAAAAGTCCCAGAAGAATCTTCCGACTGATTATCATTTTTGTTATTGTTGTCTCTCTACCTGCTGTTTCTTATTCTTATTTTATTTATTTTTTTTTTTTTGCAGATGCAGCAACAAAACATGACCCATGCTGCAAGACATGAAAAGTATATTGAGGTTTTGTGAACATTTTCCTGAATAGTGTGATAACATAATCCTGATAAAAGAAGGTAAAGCAGCATACAGTCAAATTTTAAAGTGTCAAAGCATATGGAATCTCTGCCTGTTTGACAAGGGTGCATATTCATGGGGCAATACAATACTCCCAAGTATTGAAAATACACGCCATCGTGTTGGGATTCAATATTTCTATATTATATCATTCATTAATCCTCATGATGATGACATGCTTCATGTCGAAATATTGAATCCCAGCATTATTATTTATACTTTCTTATCTGAGATTAATCAGTGGAACTTTTTGTAATAGTGTACAATACTGTTTGTTGGAATTATATTTGATGGTGTTTGGAAAAAAGTAAAACAATTGAAAATCATTAAAGTAGGCCTACCTGCTGCTACTTAGAAATTGGACACTTGCAAGTTTTCTTTATCAATTGGGCATGTACGTGTTGGTGTTGAAATAAAAATATATAGCATTGCTATTTGAAAATCGGACACTAACACTAATCGCAAGCTCAGTTGTTCAATTCATACCCAAATGACTTTACTTGGGTAGGGAACATACTAAGCATTCATTATGATGCCAAGTATTAACACATAAAACACCATTGACTGACATTACAGTACATACTGGTACATAAAAATCCGGATTTACACACTAGATACTAGCCTGGTGTCCTATTCACTAGGACACTGACCTTGTGCTTCCAAATCAGTATTTGTGAAAGTATACTGTGAGCATACAAAAACAATATCTGTACTGTATTTGTTTTTTTGTTGTTGCAGACAACAGACAAATCTCTCTTCAAGATAACAAGCAACTTTTGATATACAAAGATTGAATAATACTGTAAGTACTGTAGTATTTTTTTATTCTCGAGAACCCCCTTTTCTAGCAAACCTCCTCCAACCAAACTAATGCACTGCAGACCCGGCCACCGGGACTCAGACGTTTTCAAGCATTTGCTTGTATAATAGCATTATTTAGACCCAAGCACAGAAATGCTCTGGCTTTGGGGGTTTGGTCGACCTGGCTACGAGTCTGAATATGCTGAAGCTTATGAAATTATATTAAGTTTATTAATACCTTCAATTTTTTTAATTGTTTGTGTCTAATTTTTTTTAAATTTATATTTTGGTAGATGCGGCAACAGAGGTGCAAGACAGAAAAAGTACTGTTGCAGAGCAAGACAAGGAAGAGAAACCTAATATAATTAATTTTGTTTAATATAGGCAATTTTATTGTAGTTAATTAAATATGTGATGCCTAATAGAATGCAGAAGTGTAGCTTGAACATCCTGCTGAATATTGCATTGCCGTAATCCTGGTGAAAGAGAACATACAGGGGTTGTATTATTTTGCAGCATCACGGCACCAATTGCTTCATTCTAAAAAAAATGAGCATAATTGTACAGAAGATATGAACTGGCAATTACAATATGACTAGAGAACTGGAAACCTACTATAATTTATTAATATCTATTATATAAGCCTATATAATGAATTGTTGATGCCTCATAATTTACATTATGTAATTTTGGTTATGGAAATAAAAAATATAAGTAGTGTGTTGTGTCGTTGCTATTGAAGTTTGAAGACTGATGGATGCAGGTAAGTTATGAAAAGTAGTTGCAGCATCAAGACAACAATTGCTTCATTCTGAGAACTGATTATATTGTACAGAAGATATGAGCTGGCTGATAACAATCAGAGAAGAGAACCAGAAAGCTACTATTATTTATTAATATAAGCCTAGATCGTTTTGATATTCCATATAATTTACATTATGTGATTTTGGTCATTAAGATAATACAGTTAAACTTGCCTAAGTCGACCAAATTGTTGCGTTTTCCGTTAACAATCTTCAAGTCAAATTCAAATTTTTCAATGGCATTTTGGATTCAACTTGGGCAAGTTCAACTGTACTTATAAGCAGTGTTTTGATGCTTCTTTGCTGTTCAAGTTGTGACGACCGATGGATGCAGGTAAGATTAAAAAAGCGCCCTCCAATAGAAAAAGGCTATATTTTTCCTATGTTCCTCAATTTCTATTAAAAGTGGTGCTGAAGGGTGCTAAAATTTCCAGGGTCTCTAAAATTACTATAGTTGGACTCCGGAGGGAAAACATTTTTGATATTGTAAAACAAATTTTTATGAAAATGTTTGACGAAAAACTGGGAAAGGGTGTAAAAATTCTACAAAATATCAGAAATTGTTTCCCCTCCGGAGCCTAACTTTAATAAAGGGGCCCTCTGTGGTGCTGAAAACCGCCCTTCATAGCCATTTTATTTTTAGTTTTTAGTGGTCTCTTATTTGCCATTAATTCTTTTAATAAGGTGGTAGAGTGTGCCCTCTAATGGCCAGTTTTTTGTAATTGTAAAAAAATTGGACGTTAGAGGGTGCTTTTTAGTGCTATTGACAATTAAGAGACCCTAAAAAACTTTGGAATAAAAAGGCTATTTAGGGCGATTTTCTTCACTATTTTTATCAGAACCGGACAGATTATTGTGGCCAAATAACTTAGTCATATTTTGGGCCTTTTTCTATTCGAGGGCGCTTTTTTTTTTTTTACCATCCTGCTCATTCAATACTCAAGAAGAAATAAACAATATTATACTGAATACAATTAATATTTATTTATTCAAAAACTGAATACAATTAATATTTATTTATCCAAAATACTGTAGAAAAATAAATACAATGAATATTTATTTCAAATATATTAAACCAGATTAGAATGCTTCAACTACCAAATCACCAGTTGTCATTATCTGAAAGAACAAGTTATTGAACAAACAATAAGAAATGCAAGTCAACTTTATAAATCAAACATACATGCAAAGTAATAAGTTTAATGAAAAGGGAAAATATTTTGAAGTCAATTTATGCAAATTGATACAAAAATATATAAAGTCCAGTTAAAAGGGAAACTATTTTAAAGTGAATTTTTATACTGTAATTGAAACAACAATTTATAAAATCCAATGAAAAGAGAAAATACTTTCTATAAATAAAATAGAAAGTAATGTAACAATTTAAACAAGACATTTACCAATTAGACTTTTTGTCAAATTTGGAATTTATTTTAAAGTCAATTTCCATAAATGAAACATTCATGCAAAGTAATACAACAATACATAAAATATTTTAAAGTCAATTTTGATAAATCAAACATTTATGCAAATTGATACAACAATATATAAAAGGGAAACTATTTTAAAGTGAATTTTTATACTGTAATTGCAACAACAATTTATAAAATCCAATGAAAAGAGAAAATACTTTAAAAGTTATTTATAGAAAGTAATGTAACAATTTAAACAAGACATTTACCAATTAGACTTTTTGTAAAATTTGGACAGAAAATATTCAGTTTAGGTTAGGCCAAAATTAATTTCAATTATATTATGTTACTAAGTGACCCATAAGTGTCTCCAGGTAATTAAAATAATTTCAGAAACAAATACCAAATCTAAAATCTGCATCAGTTTTGGGTAAAGGTTCCCACAACCATTTATTTATCCCACAAAACAATTTGCAATGAACATAAAATTATTAATAAGAACATTCACAAAGATTTTTCCAGCACTCACCATTCAGTAGTGGCAGCAAGATAGTCATTCAGCCAAGCAGAGCAGTTTGACTTGTTGCAGAAGAGGTACAATGTCCAGGTTTCTTCAGAATTTTTACTGTAAAATAAATTGCATATTAGATTTAGGATGAGGAAATAAATATCAAAATGTTTAATTGTTCATTTAGTTATTATAATATAATTTATGACGTATTAGTCATAACATAATTAAATATTCGGCCGTTGTGAGAAATATTAAACATGTTTAATATTCCACAACGCAACTGCCCCAATGCAAACCATCGAGTCGGGCTGTCCGAGTTGGCCTTTACATGCAGAGTGATACTTGCCATACATTTTACAAATACTGTGCTTAAGTTTTAAAAATCTTAATCAGAATCGCTTTCAATAAGTTTAAAAATTATATTTTGTTAATGTCAAAACTAGCAATGAGATCACGTCATGTTTTGCATTTTTATGTCTGATAAAGAATCTAAAATCGAGGTAAGGCAGGCCCAGACGAATCTTTATTGTAAGATTAAATGTAGAAAAATCATCCCTGTTTTTTTTTTGCCGATAAACAGAAATCAAATTTAAAAGGCATATATTGCATTTTTGATGTTTAGATAATTACGAAATTAAGTCAAAGTATCTACTAGAAATATATTATAAACCTTTCTCACATCAGAATCAATTGTTTCGTTTACTAAGGACTGGGGCTATAGGAAGGCATTCTATAATTGCCAAAGGCTACTGACCACTGCAACAAACTGGTTTTGTAACAAGTCCTATGTTCCATGCACCCGTGAACAGCAAGATGACACTTTTACAAGTCGCGAAATGCATTGATCCAGTGTTCAGCCAAAATCATTGTCACCAAGTTGTGATTTTGAAAAGGTATTCGAGATGAAATTGTCAATATCTACATCATATTTTGTGAGCAATACAGTATGTAGGTATGTGACTATCGGCCATTGAGCGCAATATCACGGCAGCAACTCGACTGTCTGCACAGCCCTCTATTGTTTTGGCAGCAGAGTGACTGGTTTGGCTTGTCTTTGCCACATTTATTTTTTCTCTATGACCCAAAAAAATTGATGATGTAGTTTACATTTTCCTCTCTGCCCTTGTCATTAAACCAATTTTTTCAAAATTTGCAAAGTGAAAGAATTTATTGCTGAAAGCTTTGGTTTTCAAAAACATGCAATTTTAAGAGATAAGTTTATATTTTTCTGAAGCCGAGCAATTCCACGGTAACTGACGTTACATTTCATCCTATATTCAGTGGCGTCACAGAGTTTGTGACGACACCCTGGCACTAATTTTTATTTGGGGCCCTAACATGCCATGCTTGGAGGTGCGTTTTGCGAGAGAAATGGACCTTAGGCTGGAGTGGGGGGGGGGAAGCCCCCAGAAGCTCCAACAAATTAGCATTTTGAGCACCTTATAAATGATCTTCTATTTAATTTGTATTCATTCGGGTGCTGTTAGAGGCCTGAAGTTGTAACTTCTTTATGTCCTCTACATCTGTAGGCCTACAGATAACATTTAATTGTTCATAATGGATCCAGCTCCAAACACTGGAGCTGATATTTTCCAACAAACTTCGTACCACAGTTATTAAAATCTAGAGGTATTTTAAATCTAGTTATTAAAATAATAACTAGTTTTACTGAATTAAGAGGTTAAGTTTGCGTGCATAGCTAACAAACAGACGCTGGAGCCAGGGGCCCCAGTTGTGGGTCCGAGGCGCCCTCGGAGCTTATGGCATTTACGAACTGTTAACTGCATTATCAGAGAACATAGAATGATCCACTGATCAAATATTTCACACAACTTTATTATGACAAAACCAACATAGAAATACATAGGTCAACTTTAGTATGTATTCTATGTGAATACAGAGAAACGTACAAAAGCGTGATAAGGAATATGACAGGCTGAAACATTTCCAAACCACTTTCGGTAAATCAAAAGACAGCATGCTTATGTCACGCGCGCCATCGATCAAGTGTGGTTCGCAAGACAAGATTTAGCAAAGGAAATGAGTCTTGTAACTGACAATACACAAATTAGACGCGTAAAAAAAAGGTATTAAAACAAATTCCAATATCATGTCCAAGAGACAAACAAAACTTGAGTTCTATGCTATGGAATACTGCATTAGTATACTAGAATTACAGTGTTAATGATTACAAATTTATTACATATTTTTTAAGATATGAACATTATACAATGGCCGGTTGGTAACTGACGTTACACTTATTTGTAATGTTGGATTATGTAGAAGACAATATTTAATTTATAAAAAAAAAACACAATTCGGATGTTTTTGTGAGATAATTATAATGTAAATTTATGAATTCTATACTTAATTTAAGCCAGGAAGCTCAAATAGTACAAAATAAGATATGTACTACAAAACAATTTAAAACACAAACAGAATTAAATATAAAGTCTATGACAATACTGCCACTAGTGGGTTGTACATTAAATCGCTACGAAATAGAATAATTAATTAAAGCTTTGATAAATTATATATAAAGATTAATGATGGATGATTCATCATAAATTCTCCCAATAGTGGGCTGTACATTAAATTTCTTTAAACAAAATAATTAATTACTTAATAGTTTTGATAAATTATATATTAAGATTATTATGGATTCATCATAAATTCTCCCAGTTGGTAAATTACTGACATAAAGCATAGCCTTATACTACTGAAACTGACATAATGTACATTCTTTAAATTACTAGGAATTTCTTTATTTCATTTGGAAAAGAATATAAGGGATATTTGAGGCATAGTTTTATATATTTGGTTATTTATTTAGCGCCTTTCTTTGCAGATACGAAGCGCCTCTGTCTCTGGTCATTGGATCCAAATGCTTAAGTGTTGCTGCTGTAATCAGCGCAGGAGCAAGCAATATGAATGACCTTAATATTGTTATTCTTAGTGACTCTAGATGGATGTGAATTTGCCGAAATGAAATTCAATCATTTAAGCTACGGCGATGACATGGTTTTGTTGTTTCCGTCGATAGACGGGTTGTACATGTAGCATCTTGTGCAATTTACGCCACTGGGCATGACATTATTATAAGGACAAGAAATTGGTGTGTATGAGGTTTATCCCTAAAGGTATGAAGTCATATAGTTTGCCTAAAACATATCTCAATAACAAAACCCTTGAATATATTGAATCTGTGTCATATCTTGTTCACATAATATGTTGTGACCTCAGTGATTGACCATACGTGGAAATGTACTCTGGAGAAAATTTAACAAGTGCTGTGATCGAATCAAATGTTTATTATTTGAGGCATGTCGTGGGGAAATGATTAAGTTATCGCACAGGCCAGTGTTGAGTAAATGAGCTATAAAATAATAACAATAATAGTTTAATGTCTTATTAATCATGTCCCAAAGTATTAGTTCCGGAAATGGTCAACAAATCGTTTATTTAACATTATTATGATAGTTAATTCTATTAACAAATACAATGTACACAAATAAATTTGAAAGGCAATTACTCAAAATCTGGTTTATCTTGACTCTAAAAGTACTGTACTTTCACTTTCCAATAACTTATTAAGCTTGAAATGTCCAAATTCAATTAATGACCCCTCATTTTAAAGATTACATACTCAGGTATCTGAAAATACCAATAACTTGAATTTCAATTTTTGCTACAACTTAGCCATTTTACCACAACATGCCTCATTTAGTTCTTTCTGTATGAGTTTTATTGTTCTACACTTTGGTTTATGTATAGACTTTGATCTGTGAACAAACTGAGAGTATGTTATAGTTCAACATTTTAAGAAAAATGTTACGTAAACCAAGATATTGTAGTTCTAGTGCACTATTTGTTAACAATAATTTATTATCATTCCAAGAATTTGAGAAAATCAATTTTTAGTTTAAATTTAAAACGATTTTCTATTGGTGTAAACCCATTAGTTCATTCTGTAAATGGAATTTTTGAAAGTAGACTTTCAAAAAGATGGAACAAACTTCTTTTTATCAATCCATAATTTCTATGGATCCTGTGGGTTTATTTTCCCTTGTATTTATACATAGTTAAGTCTGAAATAAAGAGAAATGGATGAATAATTAGGCCAAAAAATTGTTTGTTTGCCATTTAAAAAAAAATTTAAAAAAAAGGTATAAATAGGGGTGGGTGGAAAAAGATTTTTTTGTATTTTTAATTTTTTTTAGATACTCATTAGATGAAATAAAAATAACCCACAGGGGCCTAACATGGCAATATCTTACATCAGACAACAATTTTAGACTAATTTGTAGGGCACCAGGCAAAAAATAAAGATACAGTAAATTCTGTTCACTTACATTTTTTAATTTGTAAAAAAAATGCTCAGTTAGTTAGGGGCGGGTGGAGGAGGGCAAACAAACAATTTTTTTTTTAGCCTTACTATACGCTTATCATCATATGGCAAGAAATTATTAGGAAAAATAAAGATTTTGGTAAATGATTGGAGGATTATGATGGTAATTTTCACAAAAGTGTGTAACTTTGAATTTTGAACATTTTGTTCAGTAGTGCTTTAATAAAGCTACAGAATTCCATGATTTTTTGCCACATAAGTCATCTAGAAAGCTACCTTGGGAAGCATACACATTTTTAGGAGTTACTTTGTTCAATTTTGGCAGGAACAAATGTGAGGTCTCGCCACAAAATGAGTCTCATGGTTAGAAATTCAAAAATTGAGTTTATATTATATTTAGGTAGATCACATTATAAGCTTTCATTTGGTCTTTGAATGGCTTCCCTACAATAAGTAAATCCAGAGATGTGAGCATTTAAAATTTAGGTGTATAAGAACCAAGTTTTGAGAAAATCGGCCTCAAAGATAAACTAACCTGTACAAATAATATGACTAGAATTACAGAATCAAAATTTTGTCAAAATGTTGATTTTGGCCTGTTTTGGTGAATATCTAAATATGATTTCACCAACGATGCGTCTCATTTCGTGGTGAGACCTCACATATGTACCATAAATATGACCCTTTTTTATTCTGAAATTACAGTTATACTTTTGTAAAGTCCTGTAGTTTCTTTAAGTAAGTTTTGCTTATTTTTCTTTATGCT